CACACAAAACTTTGAGCCAGGTTGTATTTCACTGAGACTTAAGTTTTCAATCTACATCCAGTCATTTGCTCTCATCAGTATTTAAGATTTTCCATAATAGGAACCTTACATAGAAATGAAATATTGCCCTCTAAGGTCTCAGTCTGAATATAAGCTGTATTATATCTCCTGCTGTTTAAAATATAGCTCATCATTACAAGAAAATAGACCTGAGGATGACAATGTCTGGAAATGTTCTTTGCCCAAACAGGTAGTGTTAAGCTGGGGAGAGCGATTCTTTTTCTCCGAAGATACTGCATTCTTCCTGCCATACTAAGTGAAGGCTATGGTACTGGCATCTAGTAGGCAGAAGGAAGGGATGCTAATTTCCTCCTATGGTGCCCAGGGAAGAAGACTTGATGTGACATTACTGAGACCAAGGCACCTGAAGTAGCAGAGTAGAATCCAAGTGAGAAATGCTGGGCCATGACACAATGTCATCTTCAAGTCTTAAGCAACAACAATATCTGTCTTTACTTGACCCTAAGATCACAGCTCCTGGACAGTAGAAAGCCACTGGCCATTTTGGAACCATGTATGTTTTTGTTTGTTTGTTTACCATCAATATAGATGAGAGATGAAAATAATTGCATTTGGGGTTTTACTCCATTAATGCAACCAATTTGAATCAACATGTTTTCCTGGTGGCAATATCAGGTTATAGTTTAAAAAAGGTTGAAACAAAAATGTCTTGAATGCTAACGGAAATAAGGAAGAACACTTCTATCCAGTCAAGCTTGAAAAAACCATGGACAGTGTAGGCGGGGACTGTGTTGTGTGCCTGTGAATCACTGCCTTTATTGGTCACCACTTCCAGACTGTCTTTCAGGAATGCTCCTCTTCCAAACCATTCCATAGCTGAACTCTGATTCATCAACATTTTAAGGGGAGGAATTGGAGATTAAGAGAATAGTCCAGGATCAGACTCAGCCCTCCACATCTAGAATCTGTAATCTTGACAGCTTCAACTGTCAATAACTACACAATTTTCACTTTTTGAGTTATACAATTTTGTAAATTCGTACCGTCATCCAAAAACATCCCTTCATGTATTCGTGTGTGTGTGTGTGTGTGTGTGTGTGTGTGTGTGTGTGTGTGTGCGTGCGCGCGCGTGCACGCTCACAGGATTGCACATGTGTATACCAATGTCTCCTTACATTACATAGATCCTGGAGATCAAGGTCAGGTCATCAGGCACAGTGGTGTTCCTGCCTGGTGAGTCATCTTGCTGGTCCTGAATCAGCCCCACTACAGAAGCTTTCCATAGATATAGGCAATCAGGTTTAAAAGTACATACATGTAATCTAGCACTTGAGGTGTCAAGTAAAGATTACTGGGAGTTTGAGGCTAATCAAGGCTACATGGGATCCTTTCTTTAAACTACAAAACTGAACAAACAAACAAAAGGATAAAAATAGAATGAAAGCGTAAGAGTAGAAAGGAAGTCATGCCATAGCGTGCTGTATCCCATATCTCTGCACTGCCTGACACAGGATATGCTTATCTCTGTGCTCACACGAACATGTTCTTTCTGGCTCGCTGGGAGTCACCTTTGCTGTGTCCCGCTACGGATAAATTTTCAGGATGCCTCAGCCTGCTTCCCAATGTTGCTTTACTTCTTCTTGCTCCTGCATTGGCCCTTCCATCCACTCATTCCCTTGGATGCTTGATTTGAAACTTTCCTACCCCTTGGCACCTGGAGTTGATGGTTTGCCCCTGATGAGCCCTGAGCAATAGGCAGCACTTTATACCCTTGCTTCTGGAAGAGAGGCAGTTTTTATCTACAGACCTGTTCTCTGTTCTCTTGTGGAGGTGTGCGGGGGGCAGCCTGCAACCTCCCCCAACAGCATACAGACATCTGCATGGAAATATCCCCTCCAGGTGAACAGAATCTTCCAAGGGCTGATGCTGACTGGGGAAGTTCTTTTGTGTACCTAGGAAGCTTCTCTGAGCCCTGCGCAGCTAACTAACTTTGATGTATATTTTGTGATTAGGAAAGAAAAGAAAAACCAAACACCATTTTGTTCAGCCAAACTGTGTCTCATAGATGAGAATTTTTGTTGACTGAAGGCTTCTCTCAGATGTGAGCTTTGCCCTTTTCTATTATAAACAAAGGGCTACCCTGAGATTCTCTTTTATTTCTCCTGACTTTTATTATCTTTGATATGTTAGGGCATGATATTTCATCAGCAAAATGGAAGGGATAACTGTCTTCCAAATCTCAATTCAGTTTTGTTTCCCAAGAAACAAGTATCATCCAAGCATAAAATCCTCAGTTCAGAGTCATCCTTCAAAAAAGTAGATGTCTACAAGGCCTGAAAAACACGGGGTGGGGATGCTGTGTGAGTGTGTGTCAGTTTTGCTTCCTTAGTACCAAACTCTTTAGATAATGACATACTCTCACAAAATTGGTACCTTAGATTTTAATGATGGCTCTTATTAAGTAACCCAGACTGGCCTTGATCTTATGATCTTTCTTCCTACACATCTCAAATGCTGAGATAACAGTTATATATCACCATGCTTGGGCTTATAAAGTGTTTCTTGGAGCAAGTAAATTAAATTACAATGTCTTACGTTCTATACTCAACAATGCATCCTAATTTAAACAGCAGAAAGAATAAGAGAATAAGCAGGCCATCATTTTTAACCAATCAGCTTCCAATTGGGATTATATCCAGTATTTCAGAATCCCTTTGTTAGAAGAGGAAAACACATTAGTGGCATTGCACTTAGTAATAGGAAAATACAATTTCATCTCTGGAGATAAATACTGTGTCATCTTTGGTGAAGACAGGGGTACAGCAGGATTATCCAGTACCATTTTTCTGTCTGTCTATCTGTCTCTATCATCTGTCTGTTTCTCTATCTATCATCTAGCTGGCTATACATCTATCTATTCTCCCTACTACACACTTGATTGCTAACTATCTACACCACACACTTGATTACTAACTATTCATCGTAGAAGGCACTACTCTGTGTTCAATAAATTAAGCTTTAATTCCACAGTCCAAAAAAAAAAAAAAAATGACCTAAAAAAACAAGACAAATGAATAGGCTGTTCAGGGCTCATGAGTAGAATACATTTTCCAGTCTATTTATATTAGTATTTTTCGAGTCAATGATGTTTCCATTCTTTACTTTTTTCACAATCTATAACACCTGTCACCCTCTTCCTGGGTTAGCACACCGGAGCTCTCTTCATTCTTGCTACTAAGATTGAACAGTTTTTTTAAAGATGTTTTTGTACTTGGATATTCAATATTAATAATTTATTGTTCTAATTTAGGACCAACTAGGTAGATATTTATGAAAAGGTTTTTGTCAGGCATTGATTTCATAAAGTCATAAGTCAAGCTGACATGCAGTATACATAATTATCTTCAATATTCAACTTTACTTTGTCTTGAAGGTTAAAAAGTTTATACCTTCCAATTTATATTTTCTTAACTAAGATTTTAATTGTGGAAATTTATCTACCTATTTATAGTGTATAATCATTGCATCAGAGTGGTTTCCTTATCTTTAAACCCATTTTTAATTTTTGATTAATACAGCATTGTGTATATTTGCGAGTATAATATTTCAATACATATATCAATATGTCATGATTAATTCAGAAATATTAACATTTTCCATCTTCTTTCCAGTCATAGAGTTTTAATGAAATATAAAGTAATTTTACTTTTAGGAAATAAATAAAATTATATGTTCTGACTTCAAGAAAAAAAAAGAAATTCTGTTCACCATGGAGACTAAATAAACTCTTCAATGTTGATATATCTGTGAACATAGAATTTCTGTATTTAAGAAAAGTAGTGTAAAGAAAGAAAAACTATGTGGAAATATGTTACAAATTGGGGAAAATATTTAATTCTGTATTAAAATCTTGAAATTGAAAAATCCTATTGTAATTAGGCTTAGCTAGTGTCTGTAGGGCTAGAACTACTTTCCTAATTATGTATATTTTGTACATAGTAAACGTTTATTAAAATGAAAATATCAATACAGGAAAAGTATTCTTCCTCCATGAAAGCCAACTCAACAGACTCCTCTTTAAACTCTATTGCTTTGGCTTTGTTTGAAAACAGCACAGAGTAGTCACAATCAGTAGGGATGCAAATTAACTATCGAGAGGATGTTTAATTCCTTATGCATCTGAAAGGAAGTTCTAGACTCAATACTCAGCCAATTTCTAAGGGGGGGGGGAACAAATTAGTTCCTAGAAACACTGGACAGGATTTGCCAACCTTTCCTTCTGCATTTGGGAAATAATTGTCCAGCACTCAACAAAGGAGAGTTGTTCTGTAATTTCTTCTTGGAGCCCTTGGAATGTGTGGACTTCATTTGAGCCTGTTCTTACAAGTGGGGACATAGCTCCAGGTACAGAAAGAACTGATAACCTCTAACTATCTTCTCTTTGCTGTTTCTCACCCAACTTACACAGTGAAAATGGGCTGAAAACCTTGACGTAGTTTTCCACTGGCACTCATCTGTGGAACAACTTCTATGCTGATCTATCTCTGGCAAGCGAGCTTCTATCAAGTCATGAGAATTTTTTCTGAAATTTAATAATACTTGGAAGGATAATTTGAGCCATTTTTAGAAGGGCATTCATTACTTGGTAATCTAATATTAACTGATGTGTTTTGAACTAGAAATCATGGGGTCTTCTGATTTACGTACTAGAAATTCTGGTGTAAATCGAATCTCACTGCTCCTCAATAATCGATTAATAACTTAATCAAAGAATTGTTTTTTTCTATATAGCAGCACATTAAACTGAGTGTGTTGTGCTAAGAATATAGCTCAGTGGTAGCATTCCTAGCACATGTGAGGGCAGCAGGTTCGAGTCTCAACATCACCCAATAAAGAAAACAGTTAAGTTGTTAAGGTAGAGTGGTCTTGGAATTTCTGCAGATAATTCATTTATGCCTGCTTTCTTGTTTGCTCTCTAGAATTTTTCCGTGAGCTGCTGGAGAATGCCGAGAAGTCCCTAAATGACATGTTTGTGCGGACCTATGGGATGCTGTACATGCAGAATTCGGAGGTGTTTCAGGACCTCTTCACTGAGCTGAAAAGATACTACACAGGGGGTAACGTCAACCTGGAGGAGATGCTCAATGACTTCTGGGCGCGGCTCCTGGAGCGGATGTTCCAGCTGATAAACCCCCAGTATCACTTCAGTGAGGACTACCTTGAGTGTGTGAGCAAGTACACGGACCAGCTGAAGCCCTTTGGAGACGTGCCGCGGAAACTCAAGATTCAGGTCACACGCGCCTTCATCGCTGCGCGCACCTTCGTCCAGGGCCTGACAGTGGGCAGAGAAGTTGCCAACCGCGTTTCCAAGGTAACCGAGGGAATGGTGTCTCTATAGTTGGTCATCCTCTTTTCTTAAAAACAAAGGCATACCTATAAAACAAAGTAAGACAAAGATTCTCAATCCAAGTGGCCCCCGCTCCTCATGGCCTTAGGTACATGTCCAAGCTTAAATCTGATTGTTTATATTTTCTGTCAGAAAAAAAAAAAAAGATAGAGAATTTTAATGCAATTGCGTATGGTTTGGCAGTTAATTAAAATATATATTTATCGGCAAGGTAGCAGAGTTTTCATATGGGTTACACACGAGTACAAGGTGGCTTGCAACTAGCAACCCCACATCCAAGATTGGGGGATGATAAATGCGCGCGGGCCAGTCCGCTCAGCTTCTAGTACTCCTGCGCATGAAAGCCTCCCAAGGTGGGGGACCTAGAAACAGGACAGGGGCCCTTGGCATCTCTTCGTTGTCAGAATGGTGTAGGTGCTCAACGCTGAGAGCGGAGCCTTCGCCCGGCACCAGTGGCTGCAGAAGCTCTTGGAGTAGACGTGGGGTACTAATGGATACAAAGTGTAGGTTCTGGAGAATAGTCCCTTGCATTGTCCTTTATCTTTCTAATTCCACGCTGCGTGTTGTGTTGGATTTATGAAAAAGATAAATCTCTAATCCACTTTGGGGCCTTGAGGATAATGTCCATAAACCTTTAATACATGCGATCACTCGGGGCCACTGTCTTTCAACAGCCAGCATTTCCCGCGCCAAGCATATCTGCGTCTGTTTAAACTCTGCCTTGACATTTAACTGCTCTTATGAGGTGGGCCTGCCCATTTATGAGGTCAGCCCTACAAATAGTCTAAAAGATGATTTATATAAGAAGTAAAGGGAAAACAGTATATAAAACGAGACTGGTACTAATCTTTCTTAAAGAAGGTCATATTTGTACAGAGATTAGTGTCAAACAGTAATTTTTATTATAGGTCTGTGCCCAAGAGTCCCAGAATTGTTTTTATCTTTTTTCTTTTTCTTTTTCTTTCTTCCCCTATTGATACTAACCTACAATATTTTATTTTTGTTCTTCCTTTTTATCTCATTTACATCTTGACATAAAGACAGTGCAGTCTATACTGTTAAAGATACCTCTCTGTGGCATGACATAAAATTCCTAGCAATCCATTTTTATGAGTTATCAGTTTCTAAAATGTTACAGCATGCAGAGTCAATTTTAAAAAGGTTTTTAAAGCAATAATTGTAAGGAATGCAATGACATAAAGGTCATATAACAAAGCTGGCTAATGCAATGTTTTCTGATGGATATCCACAATATTTGACCTAACAAAGGAAACCGTTCCTCAGACGTGGTTTAATAAGGACACAGCCAACTGGAATAGCAAGAATGTGTATGATTCCACAGGGATGGTCTGTAAAATACAAAGAAGTACAAGAAGAGAAGGTATGCCCAAATGTCATGACCAAGATATATCTTGCTGTAAGAAACAAATTGAATTAAATAGTAGTTAAATTAAAAGGTAGTCACAGAGTCTTTGAGAGGGAAGCCTGACCCTTGTTGAAGGACAGAACGTCCATTCATGAAGCATGAGATGAAATGCATGGATAAGTGTGTGCACTGTTTGTGGTCGTTTCTGCCGACTCCACCTGAATGTGAGTAACATCTGGACTTAGATAGCATGACCTTAGAAGATTCCAGGTAGATAGGAAGGTATATTGTTTTTTGTTTTTTGTTTTTTTTCCTATAAAATATCTAAGGAGCCAAAGTGAAATGCAGTCTAATGACTGCTTTTACTTTCCCTCAGAGAATCGCACTGATAACTGCCCAGGATTATTTCCTAGGTCTTCATAGGATGGTGTGCTCTTGGGTACTAGTTTGTAGATTCTAACATGTTCCAGTTTAAGATGAAGGACATTAGGAACCAACCATGAGTAGAATCACCTTCAGATTTTTCAAGAATTCATGCGAGTTGTATTATACAACAGCAAATTCTTTTCTCTAAGCAGCAACTACAGAGGCTTGAGGTGTAGTTTGTGGGTCATGTAACTGAAAACTTAACTGTTCTATATTGGCTTCACTCACCTGGGCTCCATTAGTTGTAGCCGCTGAAAGCATTTTATCTCCAGTTTTGGAGATAAAAAGATAAGATGGAGTGTAGACATGTGGGTGTGAAGATAGGTGGGTAGATAAATGATAGACAGAGTTTCATGTTCAATGCAGCTGCGCAATTACTTTTATCAAGTAATTCATAACTCACAGATTTTCACAATTTCCGGAACATGTATAGCCATTAGAAATGCATCCATTAGTTCAATGACGGCTTTCCAACTACTGTGTATACCAGGAGGAAAGTGTTATCAATGTTAAATACTCCCTGAGAGGAGAAGGGAGATTTACGCTTCCTGTTCACACCCACTACAAATCAGGAGTGTCCACCTGCTCTACAAATGGAGAAAGTCAGAGTTGGTGCAGTAGTGACAGAAGTTTGGAGAACTCAAGGGACGTTAGGCAGATGTCACCTGCTCTCAGCATCATATCTTGGGAGTTTGGTCCCCTCCCGTTTCTCATTTTATTTCAGTGACAATTTAAGTCTTTGAAAGCATCATTAATGGCTTCTAATTAATTGTTTTGACTGGAAAATGTGTTTCTTTGGCAAAACACGGCAGCACTAGACAAATGTTTTGACAGAACCTAATAGGGAAATTCCATTCTTAAAAGTGGAAGATTAATTTGAGAGCCTCAACAGAATTATTTTTTAAACATAGACTTGCTGTATTATGGATACAAATGATGATGCTTTTTGTAGCCTTAAAAATGGGGAGATAATATTTTGTGTGTACAACCAAAGCTCTCCATGAAGTACTGAATGATTCTCTAATGAATGGCCATGATGGGTGAGCTAGGATTTACTTTCAGTATGAATTACCATTTTTGAGTATGCCAAGAGTTGTGTGCCATGAAATGTGAAGATCTTTCATACTTTTGAAGAGTGAGTATAACACTACTATACTATAGCTAAACACATTGGAAACACCTGTCTAGTTGAACACTTCCACACCCTCTAACTGTAATTCCTTGCTACAGTCAAGTAGACGTGCAAAAGAATTTTCTAAGAAGCATTTGTGAACAAAAATGCAGCTAAAAAAAAATAATTACCCCCATCTAGTCTATGTCAACGGTGATCTCTGCTCTATGCAGTCCTTTGGAACACAAATGTGAACTTCACCATACTCAATGTCTGGGTATCCCAAAGCCTATTTCAGGAGGAAGACAACACATAAATCACCAAAGTTGTTTCACCATTTATACGAAGCTCAAACAATGTGAGGATAAGTAATACTACTCCGGAAAATACAAATAAATAAATAAAAATAAATAAACGTATGTGATAAACTCAGGAACTTCGGGCTAAAAACGAAACTTGTGCAGTGGTATAAATGATGTTGGGATGTACAGTCAAGCAAGGATGGAGTGGAGCTTTTGAAGCCATTGCTAGCTCTCTTTAAGCTGGATACTAGCTACAGATTCCAGAGGGCTGTCTGCATGTCTCACATGTAAGACTTTTCTTAATCAAGGAAATTAACGTAAGGAAATTCTTTACCAGTTGTCCAACCATGCCTCTTTTTAGCTGTATAGGTATGACCATGTTTATGAATTTCCATTTTTTATTGAGTAACCATTCTTTAGATTATGTTGAATATTTTTTGTGTGTGCAGTATACCAGGGAAAGTTCTGAAAATGAATGCACAAACCAGCTTTGATAGTGTAGTATTGACTGCATTAAGCTGTGCATGCATTCTGTTTTTCATCATTTGAACTCTACTAAAAAGCCATTCCTTGTCCCCTTTTGTGTTCACCCACTGATGAGCAGAGACATGGATGCCAGCAGCTACTTAGAAAGGCTTCTCAGGAAGTGCATATTAGGAAGGGTTTCTGAAAGAGATCTTAACTGCATGTCTACTCACCTGAAGTTTCTAACAGTTTTCACAAAGACAAATGTGGGAATCACTCCGGTGTCTTGCCTGGTTCGAAATGATGCCATTTACAGACAAAGGGGCATGACTTTTTCCTCATTTATTTAATAAAAGGTACAGGCTATGCAGGCATATAGGACAGTTACTAAAGTGTTTACAAGCAAGCATAAGGCCCTGAATTCAAACTCCAGAACACACACACACACACACACACACACACACACAGAGTAACCCAGTACTGAAACATGGTGAGTTGCTGGGGTCCTACTTGGTGAGCGTAACCTACCTGGTGAGTTGCAGGCTAGTGAGAGACAGTGTCTCAAACAAAATAAGAGAATGAAATTGTGGGTGGTGCCTGAGGAATAATACCCATCATTGTCGTTCAGCCCATGCACACACATACACAGAGGTATAAGCACAAACATGTGTAACTCCCCCCCCCCTCCAATATACACACTTTTACCAGGTAGGTAAATCCTGGTAATTGTACCAAGATCAGTCACATGAACTCTGCAAATCATTGATTTGTTTCATAAAACCTGAGTCAGTAGCAGAGCTGAGATGCAATGCACCGGAAGTATTAACAAACACTGTCATCTCTATGTCTAGCCTTTCTTCCTTTATTTTGGAAGGCAGGTGTGACCCAACAGTTTTAGAAAGACAAAGGGATTTCTCTCCTTCCCGTGTTTCCTGGGCATACTGGTGTCTTTAACTAAGAAAGCTAAGAGGTAGATCATCTACACTGTACATAGCTCTACTTTGGAAAACCATTCTGAAAGAAGAACTGTGTGGCCTACTTGTGGGCGAATTTGGACTATGTTCTAATCCTTGAGGTTTGGAAATTTTTAAGATATAAATAAGAATACCTGCAGTTCCTATCACCTGAATTTCTAGTTTCCTTCCTTCTGTGGTAATGTTTTAAATAGAGCTGATTTTGTGACATTTTCTAGAACTGAAAAGGACCACAAAAAAGGCCTTGAATGGACAAATCCTTTCCATATTTCATCTGTGGTCTATGTATTATCTCCTGTAATTTACAATGATCTGATGAA